ACATACTTCTGAGTTATTTACTGAGAACAATTGAGCAAATACCCCAAATATTCAAAAACCTGAAAGCAGATAAAGTCTCATTTTTGAAAATAACACTGGTGTATATATATACTTAGCAGCTGTTAAAACCAACTAGCAGGCATCTATCAGTTCATATATGACTTAGACTTATATAAACTTCATTGATCCACAAGGGAAATTGTTTTATCACAGTAGCACACAATAAATAATTATATAAGAATAAAAGATGAATGAAATAGAATAAATAAAAAAGCAAGCAGGAAAAAAAAAATACAGAAAAGATGTCCGTATGTAGAAATTTACAATTTTACTTTTTTTTTTGTTAGTTTGTTTTTGCCAAGTAAAGAAAGACAATAAAAGAAATAATAAAATAAAAATAAAGACAAAAATATGGATAAAAATAAATAGTACTGTAACACTTTTGATCAATAAATAGTTTTATTAACAAATGGCATTTAAGCCTGAATATTTTGTATTATGAGACAACAGTTTAAAAACAGCGAGGATTATTTCATTTGTTTGAGCTCTTGCTTTATAAAAAAAAAAACAGCATGAACTCCCTGCTATGCAACATTAATGTGCAATAATGTGGCTTCATCCAGTTAATGATCCATCCCATATTTATTTCACTTTCTCCAAGAAACTTAAAAGATGCAACATGCTGCCAGATGTTTCCAGACATTTCCCCAGAAACTTTACCTCGAACGCCCTGCGGAGAGCCTCCAGGGAGGGTCTGCTCCTGGCCTGCTGCCGTGGCAACGTGCTGACATAATGCTCCAGCTGTGGCACCAGATCTATGGTGCTGTAGAAGGACGGTCTGCGCAGCTCCATCCTCGAGCCCTGGGGTTCTGACGGACTGCAAGACGGGATAGCCAAGCAAAAGTGGTATTTTACTGTAACTGTTGTAAGCTGCAGTTCCCTTAATGCTCCTGCTAGTAACTACTAGGCTCACTAGAAAAAGCTGTTCATTCATTTATTGATATTTTTATAATGAATGTTTTGCTGGTTTCATTTGAGTCAATCGGCAGCATAATATCAGCGGAAATCCACACAAACCTTGAATCCTCGTCTGAGACAACGATGGTCGGAGGAATCTGGAGGTTACCGTCTTGTTGCAACCTGCTGGAGTCAAAGTGGTGCGAGGAGTACCTGGGAGGTCCTTCCTCATTGGTTGAGAAGTGGACATGTGGGAAAACGCCCGGTGCCAGTTCATTACTTTTGGACGTGAGCTGCCCCATCGGCACGACTTAAGAGTCCTGTGGTTCAACGTGTGGAGAAAGCAGTGAAAAGAGCTGATTGATACTCGTTATAGCAAAGTTTAAGAAAATCTTGACTTGGGAGCAGAGCCCACGAGCACAGAAACACAGAATTCAAAGTTGTTAGGGCAAATACGTTAACATACAGCAGGATATTTACAGAAGCTGCAGATTCAGAGAGACTTCAGCATCCTTTAGTCCAATATTCACTTTACTTTTAGCTTTGTTAACAACTCGAGAACAACTTTTGTCATGTAATCTGGCACCTTCTGGAGCTTAAGGTAACATTTCTCTGTGGGCTCAGTACTACATTATATGCCTAATAAAGTCATGTTAAACTGTGACGATGATGGATCAGTGCAGCTTTGATGAACAATTTCGCAGCATTAAGGACTTTTCTGAGCCGCACTGATACCGACTGTTCAGAGGAAACTCTCATTTGACTAATTACTGATGCAGACGAGCTACCGATTCAGTCCTGAATGTGAGAGCAGTGTGTGGGAGTCTCCTTTTCTATAACATACTGAGCTCATCTGCAGCTATAACAGAAACAATGGATGTACACGACTTTTCCTCCACGACCACATTCAGCGAAGCAAAACCGAATATAATGAAAATGTTTTAAATGCGTTCAACCTGAATAAACTCTTATTCCCAACTGGTTTCTGCACTCCTAAGATTCTAAGCCCACATTAATCAGCTGAGTTGATGTGGTAAAAGGAAAGTAGTTTTATAAATAGCCTTAAAACCCACAGCAGTAATCTAAGCTTCACCCTGTTGGTTAAAATATTAAATGAGATTAAACCTTGTTAAGTTTGACATCTAACAGCATTTAATTCCTCCAACACTTACTAGAAATTTTAAAGCAAAAATAGAAAAGCGTGTACTTACAGCTGCTTTCTTTTCCTGGTGAATGAAGCGAGATGAAATATGCTCCTTCTTTCATTACACAGTGAAACTCTTGAAATTTATACCTTCAGCGAGGTAGATGACGTCTCCTCCCATTTACCTCATCTTCCTCCCTCCTTCTCACATGAACACACACACAATCACTTTCTTGGCTGCTCACGCAAATATTAAAGATAATTATATTTATTTATACAATATGAAAAAAGCTGCAGTTTATTACATTTAAAATACATCTTAAATGCAGTTTTTCGGTGACTGTGGAGCACTTTTTTATATACTAATCTCTAATTTTTTTCTGTTTTGCTTTTCTGATTTTTTGGTATTGATTCTCCAAATCTGCGTTACACAACTTAGGAAGTGTGTGGCATGTTTCTGGCATTTGGAGTAAACAGAAGAATAAGCGGGCAGTCAGAGGATCTACCATAGCTGAGCTGATTTTAAACAGGAAAAACTCAAAGTGCTGTAAACTCAAAGAACAACACTAATTTTCTAGGATTTTCTGGGAAACACAAGCCGTTTCGCTCAGAAATGTTTCCAAGAAAAGAAAAGAATCCAAAAATGATTCTCTAACACTCAAATAACTCCTGGATTTTATTATAGTGAGACTCCTAAATACCGGAACTGTGACTCAACCTGCGGTTTCTCTGAACTGTTGACTGCACAGGAGCTACGAGTGTTTATCACAATAATAATGCTCAGGAAGGAACTCCTGTTTTCACAATGAACGCACTAAAAATAGAATCAGGGCTGCAAAAATATTATCTTATACATCGTGTTCCATCTTCACAGTTTGGATTTCATGAACTGTACTTGAGCCAGATGTCTTTCCAAAGACAATATCAATCAATATCCATTCAAAAACTGGCTAATAATTGTCTCATTTTCAACATATTGTTTGATAGTGAGGGAAAGTAAGAAGAAATTAGCTCCCAACATCCACATTTACACACAAAGCGCACACTTGTACACTAGTAAGTAATGCATTTTACGAAAAAATCTATTTAAAAACAACAGTAACAGCAGAAGAGTGTCCAGAAATTCCGTTTTCCCGAGACATTTCCTTAAAAACTAGAATTACAGTTGTATTTTTCTGCCAACCAGCCATTTCTCTGCTTGTTCCTGAGCTATGGTGTTAGAAGAAATGCACAGAGAAGTAGTTTTGTCGGCTATTATGATGTTACAGTGAAGCTGACCTGTAACCTTTTGGATATAAAACACCATCACTGGTTCTAACATTATCGCCGTCCTAGTTTCCCTCCACTGCTACCCGTTTATTTTAGAATTGATTTGAAGGTTTTATTGATCACCTTTCACCACCAGGGTTCGGCTTGAAGCGACGTTGACCCCATATGAGCCACTATGCAGCCAGTGTGGGTTCCTTCTGACTGTTCTAAAGTCAAGGTTAAATCTAAAGGTGACCGACCTTCTGGACATCAGAACCTCTCGGCTTTGGAATGACCAATCAGTGCCTTTCAAGTCCCTTCTTAAAATCCTCTTCCTTTAGTGTGGTGTCATCTCTTTAACTCTCTGTTCGTCTTTTATTCCTTTATTCTCTCTCTCATTTTACCTTGTTTTTACAGTTTTATTTCGTATTCTTTTTCCCTTCGCCACACATCTGTATTTATGTCAATCAATGGCATTTCTGTGCTTTTATTTTTCTGATTTTATTTGGATCAGCTGGTGTCTGTTTTGTGGATTTTTTATTTTATTGAAATTCAGAATTTGGTCTCTTTTAGCATGTTTAATTCTTCACTTTTTGCTTCTCTGATCTTTTTTCCTTTCTGTTCTGCCTTCCTCTTTTTTCTTTGACTTGTCTGTCAAAGCACTTTGTACACTAAAAACATTGTAAATAAAGTTATTATATTATTATCACCTCATTATTTTATCCTCTTAGCTACGTGTGTGAAAAATGGTCAAAATTAATATATGAATTCTCAAGTCATGGCACAATGACCTTTGCCCACCAAAATGTACTTCGTTCGTCCTTGAGCAATTGATGCAAAATATGAAGAATTTTCTGAGTTCCTGCGTTGACAACAATAGGATGGACCCTGATCACCTGAATGAAGGCATAAGACAGTGTTCAAGTGTTCATGTTTCTTAAGTCACAGTCACGTCTTTCCTTTTGGTTTAAGAAAAGCAGGCTATTAAGGACTCTATACTGAGTGATGCTTTCAAGGCGGAAACATCTCGCCGAGTATTCTTCGTAGTGCCAGAACCATGCTATAATTAAACCTGCTCCACTGCCTCTCGCACTCTACATGCTCACAATGCCATTGTGCCCTCAAAGCCACTTGTTCCACCCACACTGGCAGAGGAAACAGCAAGGTAGGTGCACAGCCTCGACCAAAATGAGATATTAACCATTTGACTCCCTTTAGCGTGAAATTACAACACTGAGTACGTGCTGCTCCACTATAAAGGATGAGTCCTGTTCTTTATGTATCGAGGACGGTGACAAGTGTTTGAGTCTCGACACATTCAGCTGTCGCAGCATTGCTAAAGAGTGACTAACATGCTTGTAACCTCCCGTGAACTTAGAGGCGTTTGTCGTGACGACAGTTCATTGTGAGTGTTTACAAAGCACAGAAGACACCTCAGAGGTCACGGGGACAATCGATGCATGTCTGATGTCCAATAATAAATAACTGTCATGACTGTGAGTGACTTCCAGGAATACTGAAGTGTTCCTCCTGTTCTTTCCTTATCTCGACTCTTCCCTTCCCTCCTCTCTCTGTACAGTACGCGTTGACAGTAAATGTCTGCATGGTGATTAGCAGGTGAGCCTGGTGACAGCGGACACAGCGTCAAATTATGGAAAAAAGTGGAGTAAGAGACAGAAAAAGTAAAACCGATACAGGTGATCAAAAACGAACACCAAACACCACCCTCCGAAACCAAAAGCGTGGTGCAGACACAGAATCAAAGCTGGGCTCTAAAGCCCCTCTTCCCCACAAGGACTCTGGTTTCATCTCTTATGTCCACCCCTCACACTCCGACACCATCTTCACTCATCTGCATCGCTTTTGGGAGGAACAGCTGCTGGTAGACTGCACCTTTCCCCTCCAAGGAAACTCCTTCCGAGCTCACAGACTCGTGCTGGCAGCTGCCAGCCAAACCCCTGCTGCAGTTTTAGGCCCTGGAGTGGAAGAAATAGCACAATGTTTGACCCCAGTTGGGCTGAGGGCTGTTCTTGAGTTTGCATATTGTGGAGACGTGACCGTGGACTTGAGTGAAGACTGGGTAACAGAGGAGGTGCTGGACGCATGTCAGTGTCTGCACATGGAGAGGCTGAGGGAAAGGTGCATGTCAAAGGTCGCGACCTCTCCGGCAACACAGAGAGACAAGAGCTTAGCGGTCATCAAGGACATGTGGGAGAGAGGAGTGGGGTGCGATATCACAATAAAAGCAGAGACTGGAGAGAGACACTCAGGTAAGAAGCAACTGAAGGCATCTGCTTGACTAACAACAAAAAAAAACAGCAGCTGGTTGACTGTTCAAATGTAGTCTGAGATTAAATCAAAATTTAAGCAGTGTGAAGCTTTCACCATATCACAGAATTGCATGCTGACTCTGTACTTGTCTGGTCAAGACGATGTGAGGTCTGTGTTTGCAGAAGGCCTTGCACATATATTCACCAGTAAACAAGATGCCATCCCTTGATTCAGTTTACTAATTGCACTATTTCTTTAAGGTTATGTATTATTGTTTTCCTTTTGTCAAAACTTCACTAAATCTCAGTGGAAACAGATCAGAAAACACTCAAATGAAAAGTTTTATAGCCACACACCTCAGATCAGAAGGTACGGACATGAATCAAATGTTGTTTTATTTCATATAAATAATAAAAATAATAAAACTCCTCCAAATGCTCTGACATGACTAAATATCAGCAATATGAAAATGCTCCGCTGAGTGAATTAGATAAACCTTTTAAGTTGCAAACCTTAGTTTGAAAGGTTGTGTTGACATGTTAGTAATCGCATTGGTTTAACATTGTCAGTGCAGTAGTGCTTGAAACTCCACTTGACTGTCTTTTTTTATTTGAACTGAATATTTGTAATGGAAAAGACAATTGATGCCATTTTGCATGACAAACACGAGCTACTCTTCTTCCTAAACAACGTTCCCTTCCTAGTCGACACAACGAGGCCTCAACACTCAAAAATTTGTTTACATTTTGAGAGTGGATCAACAATTCCAGCATTTTCTAAGAGACATAAATAAAGAGGCTCAGTGAGGCTCCACCAAGTAGGCAGACGGAGGCTGTAGTCGGTTCCACAAATGCTCTCGTGACCGAAGTGCGCAGCAGAGCTACTGAATGAGGCAGTCAGTAATAAATAGATGCCGCAAGAGAAATGCTGTCTGGACTTTCTGGCATCCAGATGGTGAAAGTTGTGCACGTCTCTGACAAAGTGCCACACATACAGTTGTCCTCAAATGTATTCATCCCCTTCCATCAAAGAAAAGGCAAAATTCACAATCAAATAACTAGAAATTGAAAAAAGTAATAATAAATAAAAATTTGCTAAATTATAATTTAGTGAAATAAGACGTTGCTTTTGAATTGTGGTTGAAAAGAATAGTAATAAAAATTTTAAAAAACCCACAAAAAACTAAACTGTCTCGGACAAATCAGAGCACTTTGCTGATGAGCAGTGAAATCAGAACACCTGTCAACAGGAGCAGAAGTCTGACTGAGAGTTACAGGAAACACCTGATTGCAGTGATTGGCTCAAAGGGTTGTTCAACTAAATATTAGTTTATGGGTCCCATCATGCCTTTTTTAAAATGTTTTTATTTCTGTTGAACCACAATTCAAAAGCAACGTCATGATTTTCATTAAATTTTTATTTATTAATTTTGTCAATTTCAGCGTATTTCAGTGACAGCTGTTTTTTTTCCTTCTTTAATGGGAGGGTATGAATAAATTTGAGAACAACTGTACTTCAACTCTCACCTCTGAGTCTTGTAGTAATGTGTGGTTGTGTTACGATATGAGTCAGTAAAGAAGAGGAAACTGAGTGTGAGCATCCTGTGAGTTTCAACACAACAGGGCGAACATCACGAACAGCCACAAACACCTACAAAGTCCCGGGTGATCACTTCTGAATCTGAATATTTGTAGTATTTCTGTATGGAGCAGTATTACTCTTTGTAGTGTCAGTTCTAAAAATTAGAAATACCAGAGTGAGTCAGAACTGGACAGTAAAGTTTACTGTGCGTATTCCAGACCACTTTACCCTAAATAAACTAACACCCAAGCTTGCACGACTTCATGTGCTTCCACTTCAGTTATAGATTTCCTACATTTCCCAACATACCTTTCCCAGAATAGTTCATACACTTGTCGCTATCAGCTGCTGGTGATGCTGGTAGGAGGAGAAAGTAGCGGCAACGAGTGAGTAAAAGCGTTTCAACTTGAGTGACCAGTCTCTCTTTTACTCAGTCAGTTAGAAGGAATGTTTTTTCCCTGAGAGTGAAAACTATTATTTCTCTGTGACACATGCTGACCCAACATGTGATGCTGCAAGTACAGAAAACTTCCATTTACATGACACTATGACATAAATGCATATTTACATGATTATGAAGAAGAGAAAGTCAGGAAAGGAAATTTTTCTACATGCCTACAGTATGAGACATGTTGGTGATGATACTGGAAATGCATTTTTTAGACGACTATCACTGGGTGGAGTCCATGGGTTGGTCAGGCCCTCCAGAGAGTAGATTCATTGGAAAGATCATGAACATCCATCTTGTTTGCCTTTTATCTCGCCTCTGTGACGTCATTCATTTTTCAATCCCCCCTCCTTTCCCTCAGCGCACCGTGTGGTCTTAGCAGCAGGAGGGGACTACTTCCGGGCGCTGCTGTGCGGAGGGTTACGGGAGTCAAGCGAGGATGTGGTGTGCCTGCGAGGCGTCCCATCCTGGGTGATTGAATCCATACTCAGCTTCGTCTACTCGGGTCAGCTCAGGCTGGGCTGGAGCCGGATCTGGGAGCTCACAGATGCACTGGTTCAGTTCCAGCTGGAGGAGGCGCTCTCGCTGTGCACCGACTTCCTGCGGGACAGAATGGATGAAGGCTGCTGTCTGGATGTGCTTGTTCTGGCTGAGACTTACGGGTTGCTCCAGCTGGGGCAGGCTGCAGAGGAGTATATCCTGGCCCACTTCCAGTGCATCTCTGCTGGGGAGAAGTTCAAGGATGTCCCCTGTGCCCTGCTGGAAAGGCTGCTGGAGAAAGACTCACTGTGTGTAGAGAGTGAGGTAATAGGTTTGCTTTTGTTGGTGGGTCTCATTATTTGTTCCTTCTCTATATTCGACCTCAAGCAATAAATTATAAAATAAAGAATCAACACTACAGTTTGCATCAGTCTTTTTGAGTCGTGACAACTTCTAATGAAATGATGTCCAACCAACAAGCAACACTGAGTTAAAAGGATTCACTTTCCTTCTAAAAGCGACTTTTCAACTATTACATTTCCTCACTTTTCCTGACATAAAAGTGCAAACTCAAACCATTTCTATTCATGAGACTGACTCTTAGGCAACTTTGCTGGAGAAGTTTTTCATTTGCAGCAACAACCAAAACTCTGCCAATATTCCTAACTTACATTTCAGCAAATTAACCTAAACGAATTGTATTTAAAGGCTGTATTTACATCTAAATATTTAAAACTATGGTTGAAAGGTGTTTTTTTTTCACTGTTTTTTGTGGCAATGATGCTACATTCGTCCTCAAATGTATTCATACCCTTCCATTAAAGAAAAGGAAAAATTCACAATAGTGACTCAAATAATTAGAAACTGAAAAAAGTAATAATAAATAAAAATTTGCTAAATTATAGTTTAGTGAAATGAGACATTGCTTTTGAATTGTGGCTAGAAAGAATTGTTTAAAAAAAAAAAAAAACTGTCCCCGACAAATTAGAGCACTTTGCTGATGAGCAGTGAGATCAGAATACCTGTCAACAGGTGCAGAAGTCTGACAGAGTTAAGAAAACATTTGACTGCAGTGATTGGCTCAAAGGGCTGCTCAACTAAATATTAGTTTACGACTCCTATCATGCTTTTTGTTTTTTTGTTTTTTTAAATAATTAATTTTTATATTTCTGTTGAAGCGCAATTCAAAAGCCATGTCATGATTTGCATAAAATTTTTTATTTATTATTACTTCACTCAGTTTCAACTTGTTTTCAGTGACAGCTGTTTTTTCCCCATTCTTTCATGGGAGGGCTTGAATACATTTGAAGAAGACTGTACATTAATCTGAGCTGCTGTAGTTTGTGTAGGATTTAAAATATTGTACTTTAGTGACATCTGGTGGTCAAATTAAGGATGACAGCGTGACAGATCAGTACAAGTTTCAGTACGAGTGCAGCTTTCTTCCATTTTGCGTTCTCATTTGACACAAACCAATATGAAGAGTACACTGGATTATGCATTTCTACAGATTTATGACTACAAGATAAGACCTTTGCTATGAGAATAAAATTGGGGGGACATTATCTGCCAATTCTGACAACTGAAAAAAAAAACAACCTTTTGTCCTTCTTCACTCCTAGATTGCGGTGTTCAGGGCTGTGGTGAGCTGGGTGGAGGACAACCGTAAAGAAAGGCTTCCATGTCTTCCAGAGCTGCTCCTCCGAGTCCGGACCCCCCTCCTCAGCTACTCTGAGCTCCAGGAGGCCCTCAGCTGCAGCCTCTTGTACAGGAGTCCAGGGACCAAGGGAACACTGGAGGCCCTGCAGAGCCTCATGGAGGGGAACTACAGAGGGCCCGAGTGCCAACCCCGCACCCCAAACCAGGCATGTACATTCATCTGTATCATAACCCTTCATTAAGCCATCAGTCACACCTCTGAGATTCATGTTCTTCTCTTCAGGTCCTGGTTCTGGTCGGCGGGGACACCGTCGACGAGGACTTCAAGAAGAGGGTTCCCAGTCAGACGTTGTGGTTCGCTCAGCGCTTCCACCGAGGGTTTGGTTTGATTAGAAGCATTGAGTGGAAGGCGTTTACAAAGATCCCCGAGCTGCCTCGGTTCAGACACTGTGTCTGTCTGCTCAACAACAAACTGTACGTTCTGGGAGGACGCAGTTTCTACGGAGCTCTGGACATCCTGAAGTCCGCTGTGAGGTATGGAGGGGTGGAGGCCCATGGCATTCACACAAGCAGGGATGGAGCCACTGGTGCTTTATATTCTCTTTAAATTTGACCAGTATTATTCCAAAAATGTGTTTTTGTGCTTAAAAGCAAACAAATAGTGGTCTTCTCTGATTAATCTATGAATTATGTGGTCTGAAAGTATTTTAAAATAACATCACAATCAATCTGAGCCAATGCAACACATTCAAAGAACTTGTTTTTCTCACCTGCTGTTAAGAAACTACAGATACACCGGTGATGTACTTTGAATCACAGCAGACTTTAAACTGTGTTTTGCAGTTTAAGCATTAGTTTAAGTCAGTTAAAAAATAAAGCTGCTGCTGATTAATGAACACGTCTGTTTTACATTTGACCGCTGAGGCAAAGACACCAACAACAGTTTTACAAATACAGAGAAATCCTTAAAGATGCCAACTGGCTAAAACATAAAGATCAGTGGTGGAGAAGTTTTACCTCAAAATGTAGTTGAAATACTGCAATAGACCAGTTTGTCTACACATTTCTATCTATGCTACTGTTACTGTTGTCGCTGCTGCAGGTTTTAACCACTTTATGTCCAGTTTTATATACAAAACACTGCATAAATTAAAGGACTCCAAACATGACTAATAGTGGAGGAAAGAAGTTTTCAATCTCCAGTCTTAATTTCTGCTAAGACATTGGATCGCTTGAACATTTGCAGAAATTAAACCATGTGAGAAGTTTAGAGAGAATGTTGAAACTAACACTGTCACAATTTATCATCGCCAGACATGATGAGCAAAGCAACCATATGATGCAAGACTATCAAAATGACATCACTAAACAGTAACTTCTGCTTCATTTTGAAGAGGAACTCTGAGTGTTTTACGAGTGCTGTGGGAAAATACTGCAAAAAAATAATAAAAAGGTTGTGCGTCTGCAGAAGAAGCTAGTGTCGTAGCTGTAAAAACTGTAGGTGTGGAGTTAAGAAGCAGCTCGCTCATCACGTCCAAACACCACACCCTGAACTCATGACAGTCCAGGTGTTAACACAGGAATGAAAAAGACAATACTTCAGATTCTACTGCAGCAGTCTGAGTATTTTTCTGCTCTAAATGTGCAACATGAACAAGGCGCAATGCTAATTCAGTGCAGGATTCAATTTTGTTTTCTCTCAAATATAACCTAAGTGTGTATTTTCTGACTCAACCCTTCCATACAGCTCATGTTGTATGCCTTTACAGTATAGTTCAGGTCAGTTTTGACGCGGATTATTCTGTGAAGAATTCCTGTCAAGAATTCCCTCATAGTAAGTGTCTAAACAGAAGAACAGTGCCGAAACGTAAACAAGACAAAGAGCGGCATGAGAGCCAGACTCAAACAGGAGAGAGGTAAACACCAGCCCAGCGATCTCCAACTCCGGTCCTCGTGAGCTACTGTCCTGCAGGTTTTACAAGTTCCTGTTCTGCAACACACCTGACTCAAATTAATGGATCATTACCGGCTTGTTGTCAAGTTCTGCAAAAGTCTGTTAATGATCCACTAATTAGAGTCAGGTGTGTTGCAGTACAGAAATGTCTAAAACCTGCAGGACAGTAGCTCACGAGGACCAGAGTTGGAGATCTCTGCACCAGCCACTTCCCTCTGTCATCCTGGCCAATGTGTGTTCATTATGCATCAAAACAGACGAACTTCCCGCTAACACACATGAATACAGGACTGCTGCAATTTTGGCATTCACCGAAAACTGGCTAAGCAGCAATGACAGCAACAGTCCGCTGCATATTCACGGCTTTGGGACACCAATAAGGCTCGACCGTGACACCAATAAGGCTCGACCGTGACACCAATAAGGCTCGACCGTGACACCAATAAGGCTCAACCGTGACAGTCAGCTGACAGGGAATTCCCATAGACTGTATACAGTCTATGGGAATTCCTAGGAAGTCCACATCCACCCTGAAGCAAAGGCAGCTGCAGCTTCACATCACATCATGACTGTGCTTAACAGATTGGAACTCTGACACTCCAAAATTGGTCCTTGGTGATTTTATGAATCTATTTATTCATATCTATGTGTCTATTTTTTCTATTTCTTTATATGAAATACTCAGTGAGCTTTTAAATTGCCCCTAGGGTAGAAATAAAGTTATCTGAATTGCATTATATACCAAATTTTAAACGACAGATCTATTTAGAATGTCTAAATAGTCGATGCCACATTAACACATACAAATGTAAAATAAGCATAAAGCATGGCCTGTAACCCCTAAAAGCACCATTTCTCTTGATCTGAGCAACACTGGTGGATTTAAAATCCAAATTTGACCCCAAACAGCCTCAGTGTACAAACATTTGTAGCACCTGTACAAAAGTATAACATCTTTAAATATTAAAATGTGGGTCACTTTAGGAAAAGTCATCCGATTACAGGCTCAAAGAACAACATTTAGGGTATTTTTTTACTGCTGTCATAACGGGTCAAATTTGATCCAAAGCAGTCTGTACAGGTTGACCTCACACTCCTCATTCTTTAGGCAAACATCAGTTAAAAAACAGTGAAGTGCTCCATCAAAATAAACATACATGCAACACTTGACTACATGGACTCAGTTACTTTCCTCCACTGATGAGGACACTGGAGGGGAATCTGACATTTTCCTGAGGATGGCTGTTGTTCACTCACCCACACCTGTGCACCTGGAGTGTCGCCCGCTAGCTCGATGCAGCGTCTCTTCCTGTGAAGCTGCAGGTGACTGGAGGCTCCTCTGGCGTTTCTCAGCCCCATTTTCTCTCTAAACAAACGGTTTGCTTAATACTGTCAAAGTTACTCAAGTATTGTTACACAAAATACCAAAAACAAACAAACAGAAACTTCTCCTCTGGAGACTCATCCGCGCACCTTCACAGCTGTTCTCCATCAGCCGCTAATTAGGCCTCGGCCACGCCACCTCGCGGGTGACGTCACCGCCGACGCTCCAGTCTGCTCTCCCACATTAGAGACCTCCTATTTCATTTACTAATTAAAAATAAGCAAAAGATCATTTTAAAATCTGTACACTACAAAAGCAATAAATAAAACAGCAACAAGAGCTTTAGAGTGTTAATAAAAATCCAAATAACAGCATGAAATTAAAGCCGCAAGCCGCGATGGACGGGTCCTCGCCCTACGCTTGTCGGCCTTCGCGCACGGCGGGGTGTG